GAAAAAATAATAATAATGTTTCTAAAAAGAAAAAGTAAAGAAAAAAAATTAAGAATCCAACCTTCTCAATACAACAACTTCAGAATTACAAAATTTGAACCATCCAAAGTATAATTACAAAGAGTAAAATAAAAATAAAAACTAAAGAAAAAATAAGAATGATACTTCTGAAAAAGAAAAAAAAACAATAATAATTAGAAAGAGAAACATAAAATAAAACAATTCATCTACTTCTAAACACCAATTAGAAAGAGAAAAATAATAATAAAACAAAAGAAAAAAATAATAATAATGCTTCTAAAAAGAAAAAGTAAAGAAATAAATTAACAATCCAACCTTCTCAATACAACAAATTAAGAATAACAAATTTTGAACCATCCAAAGTATAATTACAAAGAGTAAAATAAAAATAAAAACTAAAGAAATAAGAAGAATGATACTTCTGAAAAAGAAAAAAAAAACAGTAATGACTCAATATAATAATAAATTAAGAATGAACCAAAAATAATAAAATAAAAAAATGAAGAAAAAAAATCAACCACTTCTAAACATCAATTAGAAAGAGAAAATAAAAATAAAACAAATCAACTACTTCTAAACATAAATATCAATTAGAAAGAGAAAAAAATAATAATAACATAATAATAATGTTTATAAAAAGAAAAAGTAAAGAAAAAACTTACGAGACCAATTATAAAGAGAAAAGAAAAAATATGCATGCCACAAGCCTGGTCTAATATATATATATATATATATATATATATATATATATATATATATAGGTTATATGTGATAGAGTTTTATAGAAAATAAAATAGGTAACTGAAATTTTATTAGGTAATTTGTGTTAGAGTTTTATTGAAACTCTTTTTATAAAAACACTTTTTATATTAGAGTTTTTATAGAAACTCCTTTTATAAAAACACTTTTTATATCAATTAATAAATATTTTTTTATATTAATAAATAAATACTGAAATACTAAAACACTTTACACATTTAATAATAGTATAGATATATATATAAATTGAAAGCAAATTATAAACAAATTTTTAAATAGTTTCAATATACAAAGTAATATTTTCTTTCTGGGTTGAATAATAGAATTCGAGTATTTTTTATGAGTGTGTGGATTAATTTCTTTCTTCCAAATATTTGCACTTACACAAATAAACATATTTTACAAATAACATCAGGAATTAAACGTAAATATGTTTCAAACCTAAATTATATGTAATATCTTAACTTACTTATAACATGTATCATATATTATTTTTATGTGAATTGTATCAATAAAAATATAAATTAAATTTAATATCAAACAAATATGTTTTAGAATGACATAACAATGTAAAATTTATGTGACTTGTTAAATTTATGGATTCTATGTCATTTTAAAACATATTTGTTTAATGTTGAATTTAATTTATATTTTTATTGATACAAGTCACATAAAAATTATATATGATACATGTTACAAGTAAGTTAAGATGCTACATATATTTTAGGTTTGAAACATATTATGTTAAATTAATGACGTTACTCATAAAATATGTTTATTTGCGTAGGTGCAAAGATTTGGAAGAAAGAAATTAATCAATAAACTTAACATATTTTACGTTATTATGTCATTCTAAAAGATATTTGTTTGATGTTGAATTCAATTCATGTTTTTACTGATACAAATTACATAAAAATAATATATGATACATGTTACCAGTAAGTTAAGATGTTAGATATAATTTAGGTTTGAAACATATTACGTTTAATTCCTGCTATTATTCGTCAAATATGTTTATTTGTGTAGGTACAAAAATTTAGAAAAAAGAAATTAATCCATAAACTTAACCTGTTTTACGTTGTTGTGTCATTCTAAAACATATTTGTTTGATGTTGAATTTAATTCCAGTTTTTATCGATACAAGTCGCATAAAAATAATATATGATACATGTTACAAATAAGTTGAGTTGTTACATATAATTTAGGTTTGAAATATATTATGTTAAATTAATGATGTTATTTGTAAAATATGTTTGTTTGTGTAAGTGCAAAAATTTGAAAGAAAAAAAAATTAATTCATAAATTTAATATGTTTTACATTGTTATATCATTCTAAAACATATTGGTTTGATCTTCAATTTAATTAATATTTTTATTGATACAAGTCACATAAAAATAATATATATAATGCATGCTATAAATAAGTTAAAATGTTACATATAATTTAGGTTTGAAACATATTATGTTTAATTTCTGATGTTATTCGTAGAATATGTTTATTTGTGTAGGTGCAAAGGTTGGGAAGAAAGAAATTAATCTATAAATTTAACATGTTTTACATTGTTATGTCATTCTAAAATATATTTGTTTGATATTGAATTTAATTCACGTTTTTATTGATACAAGTCACATAAAAATAATATATGATACATGTTACAAGTAAGCTAAGATGTTACTTATAATTTAAGTTTGAAACATATTACGTTAAATTAATGATGTTATTCATAAAATATATATTTTTGTATAGGTGCAAAGATTTGGAAGAAATAAATTAATTCATAAACTGACATTAAAAGAAAATGCCATTATTCATTTGAAATAGTAAAAATTCAAAAGGAAATGCCATTAAAAACTGATACAAATATAAAAAACATTAGCTTACAATATTGTAATCAATTAACACAAACAAAAAGACAACATTATATACAATATAATTGTATACTAATTATGTTTTTCGTTAGAGGAAAAGAGAAAGAAAAAAAAAAAGAACTTATGATGGTTGCTATGATGCATCAATCTTTCACTTATCAGGTTAATTATTGACCTTAATCTCCAAAACTCTCTCAACTGGTAGCCTGCAAATTGGGCAGCGTTTGGAAACTTAAAACCTCCTGCCTAATGACCCATGAAAATTTCAATATCACCATTTCTTATTATTCTCCTTGTGAAATTCTTTGACAAATACATAATTAAATAACACACATACAAAAAAAATAGAGGCGCAACTAGTATAAATCCATGTCTAATTTTTTGGAGTAATTTGAGTCTATTTTCAATGCAAACAAAATTTAAAGCTAAAAAATATTACAAATAATAAAATGAAATAAATGAGATAATGATGCAGGTATAAGAAAAAACATTAAATATTCAGCCAAAAAAAAAAAAAAAGCCTAACAAAATAGGCTCTACCAACAAGTTAAAAACAAGATATCAGTAATAGGTGGAATTAGTTTTGCAATATAAAAATAGATAAAAATTAATTTAAACATGCAACTTTGCCGAAAAATCTTCTTTGCTATGCTTATTTTCCGATTATTTATGTATTTTGCCGAAATGTTGCTCTATTTTTGCTTGTTTGAAACAATAGCTATCAACTTTTTTTTGGCTTGGATTTGAGAAATATTTGATTTTGAAAGTGACTTTCTAATTTGATGTTGAAGAAACAAATATATAACATACTTTTGGAGGGAAATGATTTTTTACTTTTGGGAAACTGAAATTTCAATCTTCTCTGTATATGGAGCCACTAAGTCAAATTACCTGGGATCCTCTGGACGAAGACATGGTCTCTGGATCCCATATGAATAAATTAATTAGTATATAGAAATAATGTACAAATAACATGTATATATAGTAAATACAATTTTATCAAAAGTGCCAAATCAGCACATTTACCCCTCACTGAAAGGATCCAGTGAGAAGTGCAAAGGAGGGGATTGTTTTCCCACCGTGAAAGCGATCCTTCAATATAATTATTGAGAATGTAGCCCCTACTAATTAAAGGTGCCCCTTAAAAGCTAAGAAAAGCTAGTGAATATCCCTTGGATCTTGATGCCGCCAAATACAAGCGGCCATATGGGTTGGCTGCATAACAAAAACAAGGGCCAATTATTGTTGACTGTTTCTCAGTAGTTGGGATATTCTGAAGCGATGAGTAGATATTTTCCATCACAAAAGTGTAGAGATGAGGTGGATTCCAACTCAATGCCCCAAGTAACTTTCCAAGAAAAAGTGTAGAGATTGAGATGGAATTCCAAGCCATCCCTAATCAGACTTTCCTTCAAAAAGGGTTGTCCAGTCATTTTCTTTTCTTCCCTACCATTTTTGTACAATTAGATTTGTTTACAACGCACCTTGTTTTTAATAGTTACAAGAAATTATGTTATGATATTATTTTTTAAATATTATTTTTTAAATTTGAATTCATATTATGTTTAATATTACTGAAAGTAGTTTGAAATAATTAATAATATATTAAATTTTTTTGGTCCAAATTTATATTACATTCGTGATATAGTGTATTTTGATATTAATTAAAAATATAACGATTAAAACATATCGCATGTTAAACTGTCCTAAAATATTAACATGAAAGTATTTCTAATTGTAAGTAAATTATATTGGGTATTACATAATTGATATTTCCAATGTAACTAATATTTTTCTTTATACAATGTTAGTTATTTAAAAATTAATACTCTCAAATTTTTATTATTTTTTATGATAATTTTCTTTAAACAGAATCAAAGCTCAAATACTCGTTAACTTAACAAGCTCTTTTATTTTCTTATAATATCTCTTGATGCAATTTGACTTTACTTTTGATACAATTTTAAATATAATATCTCTTTATTTCTTGTAAATATTCCATCTTAATAAAATTATCTTGCTTACAAAAAAAAAAAAAAAAAAAAAAAAAACACAATAGCACTTTTCTCATTATTTTTTATACAATTTTAACTATAATGTCTTTTTGTTTATTGTAAATATTCCATTTAAGAAAATTATATTGTTTATAAGAAAAAAAATAAATAAAAAGAAAATGTCAACTAAAAAAAATCAATATCTGTTCCGACCTATCACAAATTAGTTACCCGTTGGGAACTTGAGAGTTGAGACCGGCACGCCTCAAATTCATAAAAATTGTAAAAACCCAGTTATACCCCTGACCGAGAAATTCTACCTTTTAACGTCCCCAAATCGCCGCCTTTGGAATCGCCCTCTCATTAAAAACCACAGTTGGGTTGGGAAAAGGGTGATTCATATCTGGTTTAGATTTTTAGTGAGAGAGAGAGAGAGAGAGAGAGAAAAAAAAAAAAAAAAAAAAAAGGGAAGGAAAGAAGAGAGAGAAAGAGGGAGGACAGGAAGAATCGATCTATGCAATCGACGCACAACTCATCGATTGTTCTGAGTCGATTCATTGTTCACTACCACATTCCGCCAATTCATTACAAAATCATAAACATCACGGCTGATTATGAGCTGGTTTGATAAACTACGCTGCTCTTCAAATTTCAGCCGCTTCATTGCCGGCCTTCTCATCTTCCTTCTTTATCATTCTTTCCAATTAATTTCTAATTTCTTGATTCCTATACAACCGTAAACAATCAATCTTCGCTCTTTTCTCTTAAATTCAAACAATTTGTCCCAACTCATCATCATCGTCGTGAACTCATCATCATCATCGTGAATTCATCATCATCATTGTCGTCTTCGTTGATTCGTTTTTAAATGGAGATCAAAGATTCAATTTCCGATCATTTTCTTGATGGTTAGTGTGGATTCTTTTGCTATTAGATTGATACATGATTTTTACAGTGAATTGCTGTTTGCGTTTGAATTATAAATAGAATTGCTTATCTATTTGTTTTTGTTTATTAATTTATTATTTATTATTATTATTTCATTTTTTTTATGAATTAATTATTATTTTTTATGACATAAATATTATTGATTATCTATTTGTTGTTGTTATTATTGATTGATTAGTTTGTGACTAAATGACTTGAACGGTTTAATGCCGAATGATTTCTTGTAAGGTTGACCCCTGTGACACTGAGGATGGTAACTTAATTGAAAAAATACTAAGTATAAAACAGAGGTAAAGGTCAAGGGGTTTATACTTTCGAATTTGAATTGGGAACAATAATTTGCTGATCAAATCAAAATGAAAGCAATATCCATGCTTGCTGGGTGCATTTCTGAATTCTGGCTAAACACGTTGTAAACCTATGTGACACTGTCCTCGTGTTGTTGTTGTTTGTGTCAAGCACAGGTACTTCAAACGCATATAGAAGTGTTTATTTTCAAAAATCTCATTTTGTGATGTTAAGAAATAATTAATGTTGTTGGCCTTCATAGTAGGATGGCAGAAATTAATTATTGTTGTTATGAAGTCCTATCATTGTTCAGTTATTAAAATTATGTATAAACATGTAAAGTAGTTTTTATTGTTTTGGCTATTGTCTCATTGGTTTCTTCTGAAACTAATCCATCATTCATATGTATCGGTAAGTTTGAATGGTTAGTGTTTGTTTTTATATCATTTGTACTTTTTTAGTTTGTGTAATTTTTTCTTGAAGTGTAATCTGTCTGGTGCTTCTTATAATAAATTTATACCCATAAGAAAATTTGCTGCCCTTGCTGATTTGTATTTCTCTGATGACTAGGCACTTCTGCACCGCGCAGTAAAAAGAAACACAGCTCATCCCCTACTGTCATTGTGATTGGTGGTGGTATCTCGGGGATTGCTGCAGCACGTATTCTCCATAATGCATCTTTTAAGGTGCACATTTATCGGCATTTGACATCTTCCTTAAGCAATAACCTAAGCTTGTTTTTTGCTATTGGCGAAGGCTTACTGTTATAATTTTGTTCAGGTGATCTTGTTAGAGTCACGGGATAGAATTGGTGGTCGCATTCACACTGACTACTCGTTTGGTTGCCCAGTAGATATGGGAGCATCATGGTTAGTTCATACTTCTCCTGGATTTCTTTCTTATATGAGCAAGATTTGTATGCATTATTTGTTTTGGTGTATCGTGGAACTCTGTTTGCTTTACTTAACCAGTTACTCATCCATGTTAATTCTTGTTAATTACAATTTTGGGAATCATGCAATGTCTTTTATTCATGGTTTACTGGATAATCTAACTTGGACCTGAACTTAACCGTTCCATTTAATAGATGATATTGTTGTTGGAAGAACATTACCACTCTTCCTAAAATTTGTCATGTAATTTCTGGCTTCTTCCAACTCGGACTTGAACTTGAACTCCACGCTTTAATACATGATATTATTGTTGAAAGAACATTGTCACTTTTTTAGAATTTGGCATATAATTGCTGGCCTCCTGGAGAGTAGTATAGTCTCCCTATATTCCAAAGTTACATTATCCCCATTTCTGAAGTAGATTGTATTAGTATGATAGAAAGTAGAAATACCAAGTTGCATGTGTTAAGGGGAATTTCTTGGCAGGAGGTAAAAGTCCAGGCTGTCAAGTGTGATAATGCAGTTCGGCTATGAACGTATCCGCTTTACACAAATAATATTAAATGTTTGTTCTGTAACCCGTCTAAGAGTCTAACCTTCTCAGTCAGGCCTCGATTAACTAGTACCATACTAGTTAGTGTCATTTTAAGTTGCAGATATTGAATTTTATTTACTATTGAGCTGTATTATTATGATTTACTGCAAGGGTAAGTAATCTACTGATAAATCAATATACTAAGCTTGGATTTGGTGGATCCGTATTGTTGTCACTAATTTATTGCATTATACTAAAAGAGCAAATTGGCCTTTCAAATTCTGATGTGTTGAATTTTCTTCAGACTTCAACTGGTGGCATTGGAGTTACCTTCAATGCCTGTTCTGAAACTGGGTTATGGTCTGTTCAAAAGTTTATTTTTTAAACTCACATAATTGCAAAACTAATACCCTGTAAGATTTGTTCTTAATCCCAGCTGACTCCAGTCAGTTGGTGAGATTATCGGGACTCTATCAAGTAGTTAGTGGCTTGTTCATGAGTTACACCATGTTTAGTTACTCCCTGATTTTTTTTGTTTGTGTGGATGCATTTATGTATGTTATCATGGAAGCAGAACTTAAGTTATTCATTAATAAATACCTTATTAATTTCCATATTTGGACATTGTTCAGGTTGCATGGTGTTTGCAATGCGAATCCCTTGGCTCCGCTCATACGTTGTTTAGGTCTTTCATTATACCGTACTAGTGGTGACAACTCTGTGCTATATGACCACGACTTGGAAAGGTAATTACTAGCTCAACTTTTTTGTCTTTCTACAATGCATTTGGGCTCAAATACATTAAGAGGTTGGTTATGTACCAATTTGATTAATTAAACTCATGTTTTCAGTTCTAGAAAGAGATTGAGATCTCGTCATAGTTCCTTCTATATGGTGTCACTGCATTTGGCCGCTTTTTGGACCCTTTGACCTTAATCAGCTCGTTTCTTCTCCATGATGCAAGCCTTAAATTTTATTCTTGGACAGTTATTGGGTTGTACAGTGTTTCTCTGGCTTACCTGGATAAAATATGGTTGCACTGTACTAACTGCTGCAAATCAAGGCTAAATTTCTTCACATAAATTTTAAAGTATAATAGTTAATTTAAAAACATCTAAAAATAAAGCATTAGAATGGAATTTATATGATAAGGTTTGGGATATTATCTATCAATGTTCTAGCAGAACTATTCAGTGATCTGCATCAGTTTTCGTAAATCATAGCTGTTTTAGAATAGTACTCCAACGAAAATTTCCATATAATTACAGTTTCTTTTGTATTCAGTTAGAATTAATATCTTGATTATCTGGATTTGATCCTTTCAGTTATTCCCTTTTTGATATGGATGGCCGCCGAGTTCCTCAACAAATGGTTATTGAAGTTGGAGAAGCATTCGGGAGAATTCTCAAAGAGGTATGCTCTTTACTAGGGAAAAATCTTGCTAGAAATTTTTGTAATTATGCATTTTATGCAACACCGCTTGGCTGACTATTGATTTGTATATGGAAATCTATAGACGGAGAAAGTAAGGGATGAACATACAAACGACATGTCCATAATTCAGGCAATATCAATTGTGTTGGACAGACATCCAGAATTAAGGTATAAGAAATGAAGGAATTTTGGATAATGACTCTTTTTTCTTGCAATACACGATCTATACAAGTTATTAACAATTTTTTTAAGTTTATGTAGACAAGAAGGAATTGCCCAGGAAGTGCTACAATGGTACATCTGTAGAATGGAAGCTTGGTTTGCCGCAGATGCGGATATGATATCTCTGAAAAGTTGGGATCAGGCAAGTTAATATTTAATATTTTTTTTGTTATTGTTTAATTGTCTTAAACTGCTCCTCTTTTTTATGTGGGCTATAGCATCCGTTCATGTTTTCTGCCGTGTTAATATATTTCTTAGAGCACATTTTTATTATAGATTTTAAATAAATATGTCATCATATTTAAAATCTTAATTGCTACTGACCAGAAAGAAGCGTGAAATATATGAACTTAATATAAAAATTACTGTGAAATATAAAAGTTAAAGTTAATTTCTCTTTAAATATTTTATATTGGAAGGATACAATTTTCCTACTCGGTTCAAACTATCAAAATTGAAAAAAGAAAATTTCCTACTTGGTTCTGCCAAATTTATGTATATACACAATTGCCTCTTTCGGGAGATCATTGCTTGGTGCAATAGTAGAAGTTTTTGCTAGCAAGCCTAAAGTGCAAGTGTGAACCAAAAGTTAGTATCCCACTGCACGCACTCAACGTCCCACAAGTGTACTGGTTTTTTTTCATATATTTTCTTGTTACATATTCATATTTATTTATATGTTAACACAAATAACTTAAATGTGTTGGAATTTGAGGGAAGTTTATAAACTATTAGTTTGCTGGAAAGTGTGCATACATGTGAATAATTGGGGTTCTTGGGGTACATCAGATGGGGTGAAATTGATTTGTTTGTAATTATTTTCATCACATTAGTGCTTACGTGCTATGGGTTATTTTTTTGGTGTACAGGAGCATGTTCTTTCTGGTGGTCATGGACTTATGGTTGAAGGTTATTACCCTCTAATTAAGGCTCTTGCAGAAGATATTGATATACGCTTGAATCACCGGTATGGTTTCATAATTTCTGAACAACAGAAGTCGTGTGTCCCATTGTTTAATAATGCTACAAAAGCTACATGCTTGTGAATTTTTTTTGAGACAGGCGATTTCAGGATGTTGTAAGCAAGCAATACTGTATAGCATTGTGTGACCCAAAAAAATCAGTCGGATTTATATAAAGTAGCATGAAATTGAATAAAACGATATAATGGAAAGTTATTGAAAGAAGAATTCAGTAATCTACATCTGGCCTTTGATTTGGCTTTTAAAAGAAGAATTCAGCAAGGCACTAGGAAAACAACACTTATGGAGTTTTAAAGATATAATTACTTACAAAAGACATGTCAATTTATCTTTTCATTTTTTAATGTTGGTTAAAGAAAGCTTATAAATTATAGGTGGAGGATATTCTCTGATTGAAGCTATCTTCAACATACCCCAATTTCTGAATCTGTTTGTGGGGGTAAAAACCAATTCTAGGGGCTGTTTGGAAGTATCAAGAGGTGGTTCTGGTTTGGTCTTGCCCTATTTTATCATTTGATTTACAGAGGAGGCAAGAATTGCCAACATTGAGTCTAAGAACAGTGGTTATTATTATTATTTTGGCCTTATTTATGTGCAAATCAAGTGACTGTAAACACAAGCCATGTAAAACCAGTCCCTTGAGGCCCAAACAGACCTTAACATGTTGTAGTCATTGTTGTATCCTACCGGTCCTACCATTAGAGAGCCAACATAATGATGCTTTACAAGTGAAAGCTTTTGCAAAAGCTCTTGGTTTTTCCCCATTTCTAATTTCCTAGGGTATTTGATTTTCTGGTGTGGTCCTTGCACATACAAACACTGATTCGCTTGAGTTTGAATTTAATTAATGAAATGTAACTGTCTTGATGATTTCTTTCTACCCTCCATATTTGTAACTTGTTTTTTTCTACACTAAAATATAAACTTGACCAATGTAATTTTTTTTTATGCTGGAATGTTTTAGTTTTGTTCTTTTGTTGGACGAAAGTTAATTACTCTATTTATATGATTGAGGAAATTAAATTGTCTCATGGAGTTTGTTAGGTTTGATTTTAGTTTAATTCCTTCCCTTAATCTTTATTATTAGGGTTGCAAAGATATTTAACGGGTGTAATAAGGTGATGGTCAAGCTTGAGGATGGGAACCACTTTGTTGCAGATGCAGCCATTATTACTGTACCGCTTGGTGTTCTCAAAGCTAACTTAATTGAGTTTGAGCCGAAATTGCCGGAGTGGAAAAATACTGCAATTTCAGATATTGGTGTTGGCAATGAAAACAAGATTGCTTTACGATTTGATAATGTCTTTTGGCCAAATGTAGAACTATTAGGCATTGTCGGGCCCACGTCATATGCCTGTGGGTATTTTCTCAACCTCCACAAAGCAACAGGTCATCCTGTCCTTGTCTATATGGTTGCTGGAAGATTTGCTTATGACTATGAGAAGCTGTCTGATGAGGCTGCTGCAAATTTGGTAATGCTGCAACTCAAGAAAATGTTTCCTGATGCAACCGAGCCTGTAAGTTCATTAGCCTCATATATCTCTGACTTGAATCAATCTAATCAGCATTTGTTAATCTTTCCATGGTTGCTTCAAGTATGCAAAGATGCTTTGAACACCTGCATTATTGTTCATTCACTCACTCATTTATTCATTCATACAGGTACAGTATCTTGTATCACGTTGGGGAACAGACCCGAACTCCCTTGGATGTTATTCGTATGATGTGGTGGGAAAGTCCGAAGATCTGTATGATAGGCTTCGAGCCCCTCTGGGTAATCTCTTCTTCGGAGGTGAGGCTGTTAGTTTGGAGCACCAGGGTTCTGTACACGGGGCCTACTCAGCTGGAGTTATGGCTGCGGAAAATTGTAAGAGGCATCTCACGGAGAGAGTCGGTGGCTTGGAGAAGATCCAATTACTCTCTTTTAAAGGCGAAGCTCTTGACGCCACAGTTCCGCTCCAAATCTCAAGGATGTGAGATATCTCTACAAATGATGAAAGAAAGAAATACTAGTTGTGTGTTTCTATTCATTCAATCATACTGTTGATTTTTTCTTCCTTCATGGAAAATAAATTTATATTTGTCTGTTTAAAAACAAGAAAAACGTTATAAGAAAACAATTGTTTGTCAATGTTACTGAGGTAGTTTGTGTATTGTTGTTCTAAACGTTATATTGGTCGGTCCATAGGTTTAGAAGCCTAATCTGATCTTAGTTTGGTTTTTTAAAAGTTTTTGGTCAAATCAGTTCTCAAGAATTAAGAGAATACAAAATTTCGAAAGGAATACGAATGGACCCTTGTTTCAATCTCAGTGCTAATGTTTTGTTCTAATCATATGTATATCTATCTTATAATTGATTTTCTTTTTGGGCTTTAGTGCTCCCACTTCTTGAAAATGCGTATGGTTTTTTCGATTTAGCCCTATAAAACGCTCCGTCCCAAATATGGGCAATATACCCGTTTGATAACCTTTAGTGAACAAGGACTGATCTAGGAAAGTGTTCTCGATCATCATGCAATTGGGCTTATGTCAGAGAGCAAGAGACAAACTTCTTCAAGTCCAACAGCCCCAAACGAGTCGTTAATAACTTAATGTCTCTCTATGGCAAATGCCCACCTGATAAAAAAAAGAAAAAAAAAAAAAAAAAAAAATTATTTCCACACCAAAATAACTTTGGGATATGATTCTTTTAATTGTTTTTTTTTATAATTATTTTTTTACGTAACACTTAAATTATATTGTATCTAGGTAACATGTTTAGTGTGGAAAATAAATCATTACTCAATATATATGTTTCGAAATTTTAATCCAACATTTTATGGTAGTGAATTTTTAGTACTTCTCTTATTATATTGGTAGGAGTAAATTTTAAATTTATTCTTATTAAAAGATAAAAGAATATTCAGAAATTAGTGCACAAGTCAATGTCAAAATAATAGTTTTTAAATGTTATAAAAAATAGTACATATATATATATATATATATATATATATATATATATATTTCCTCTGCCCGAAATTCTTGGGGTGTTTGAGGAATCCAACTTTTTTTTTTTATATTGAATTTTTAATACTTTTTTAATTATATTAACAAGAGTAAATTTTTTTAAAAGATAAAGGAATACTCCGTAATTAATGCGCTTGCTTAATCAACTCAATGTCAAAAGAATAATTTGAAAATGTTATAGAAAAAATAGTTTATTCATTTTTGGAATTGGAATATATTTTGGAATATTCCACAGACATATATTTTGGACATCCCAAAATAAAAAGATAGACAAAAATTTTAAAGGGAGGAGTATATAGTATTGAGACTATGAAGTCTACCTCTTGACACTTACCATGAGCCCTCCAAATTAGCATATTTTGGCAAAAAAAAATATTAATAATGCACAAATTACATTGTTACACAACTAATATTAAAACGATCTCACTGCAAAACGTACCTCAAAATATTATAGAATAAAATTATATGGAGTGTTGGATCCACTAAGAGTTCAACGGGCCAGCTCCCTCACTAATTTTTTATTTATTTATAAAATTACTTATAAAATTTATAAAAATTTAAAAAATACTCCCACTCAATTCCTAACCATACTACTCGATTATATATTATTGTTGTTCGCCGCTCCTCCTTCTCTGAGTGGGTCACTGATTATATGAGATGGTGGGAAAGTTGATAGGTAATTTAGTAGAATAAAGTGTATAAAAATTTGGCTGTTTCGCTAAATGAATTTTAGTACCAAGTATGGAATTCGCACGCCTCAATATTTGTACATAATTACCACTAAAAGATGCAGTGACTAGTGTCCCGTGATTGTCCCTCATGTGTAAAATGTAAATATATATATATATGTATATATATATAGTGTGTATAATAAATAATAAATATATATATATATATATAGTGTGTGTATATTCACATGTATGTATTGACATTTGACGTCGGTGATAAAATCCAAAAGAAGCAGTTTCCGCAGCCTTCTTCGTTACTTTGAAGGCCTCGTAAGCGAAGTTTGCATTTACACAAAGCCAAAGACCCATTTGTCTTCTTCTTTCCCCCCCTTAATTACGTCTACACCCCTGGTAGTTGACAACTCTCTCTCTCGATCTTTGGGATAGCATTCCACAACGACGATAGCATTCCACGGCGACGATGGGTCACAACAATCTCAATGCAAAGCTCGTCAGTCCAATATACGATACATACATACATTCATTTATATATATATATATATATAATATATATACTCATGATTTTGATTATATTCTCTTTGAATTCCAATCCTTTTCTTTTTTTTCTTCAGGTTCTGCTCGGTGACATGGGAGCTGGTAAATCGAGCCTCGTCTTGCGTTTCGTCAAAGGCCAATTCCTCGAATTCCAGGTACTGATTGGTGTTGCAATTTCTTGTTCGACCATTTATTTTGACTTTTCTATTCTAGGGTTTGTTCATTACCTTTCTTGCTTTCTTCAATTTTTAATTTGTTTTTGTTGAATTAATTAATAATGATCATGAACGATGATGGTGATCATAGGAATCGACGATCGGAGCGGCGTTCTTTTCGCAGACGCTGGCGGTGAACGACGCCACCGTGAAGTTCGAGATCTGGGACACGGCTGGCCAAGAGAGGTACCATAGCTTGGCCCCCATGTACTACAGAGGCGCTGCTGCTGCTGTCATCGTCTATGACATTACTAGCACGGTTCGTTCAAACACTTCGCTTCTCATTATATCCACACACACACACACACACACACACACACATATATATATATGTTTGTATACATACATGTACATGTATTTGTGTATGTATATGTATAGTTAAGTGCCAAATAGTTAATGATAATGGTGATGGTTAAATAATTGGTTTATTTTTTATTCATGGTTTATTCAGTCTTATTCTGAACTGAAAGTAGAAGCAGTTTCTGATTTTCAGTGAACGCTTCAATGTTACAAACTATTGGTTATTTTGACTTGTATTATAATTTATATTTCCCGTCAGTGTATATTACTTGAAATGTGTAATATTCTTATTTTCCTTGGTTTTATTGATTGAATTTCTTTTCTTTTCTTTTTTATTTAGGATTCATTTACACGGGCTAAGAAGTGGGTGCAAGAACTTCAGAAGCAAGGTGTGTAGGGTTGATCACTCAAGCAAATTAGAAAATAGAATATGCATTTTTCTCCTTTCAATCTTTTGCTTCATCGCAAGATTTAGAGAAACAAAGAAATTGCTCTATAAATCCAAACAGAGGAATTTATTCTCGTAAAAAAAAAAAATTCTATCATACCGAGCCCAAGAACCATACAATTCATTATCTTATTTCTCTATGATGTTTCCTTTATTGAAGGATTTTTTCATTTTATGATGCATTCAACTTCTTCTATGTTTTTAACCGTATAGGAAAACTTCTGTGTGGATGAGTTTTTCTGAGTCACTTGTTCAATTTTGTGACCTTCTTGGGGTTGTTACAGGTAATCCTAACATGGTAGTAGCACTCGCTGGGAACAAAGCTGATTTGGAAGATAAGAGGAAAGTGACGGCTGAAGTAAGTCTGATGACATGATATTTTCTGTTATTTGGCATATGTGGAATTGGATGCATAGTTCAAGGATGATTAATATTGCTTTTCATATAAGACATATCTTCGCCATTGTTTCCTTTTAAAGATGTTCAGTGGCCACTGATTTTTGCCGTAAGCAGGTCCTGCCTCTATTGAGTATTGGAAGGACTTTCTTATTCACACCTTTATGAATTATTAAGATATTCTGTTACTTCTGATTGATATGTACATGATAACAATTTTTTAATCTGGAGGTTTGAATTAATTGGCTACAAAATGTTATATTGTTTGGAGTTGAGAGAATACCATGTTTCCAATCGCCATGTGATCCCTATTTGTTGTGTAAGCCACTCCAATTTCATCATTTTTGAGATTCTATTGAATCTTGAGGAGGAGTTGATGAACCGTCAAACCCCATTGGGTTTTTAGTCCGCCACGTTAAAAAAAGAGTATTACCCCGTGTATGGACTTATGTGGAGTGGTGGGAGGGGAGATTGGAGTTTAGACTAAGTGGGCCGACTCGAACCCATGTTCTCACGCTTGTTGGCTCGAGTTTTTACCATTGTGCCTAGCAATTATGCTTATTTGTTGGAAATTGTGGAGAAACACTCCTATTAGCGCTGATAAGGACAGCATTGTAAATTTAATAACAGGGCTTCCTACAATTGATTTTATGGTCGAGTTAGGTTAAGGAGAACTTGTTAAACTTCTAGATTTAGGACCAACTACATGTGGAGGAAAAATTGAAAGCTCCATATATCGAAAGGGGTTGAATTTGACTAGATTCTAATGCATTTTTATTGGAAATTCGGAGAAATTACTGGTGGAATTTTTAGACACAGGCTATTTAAGATTTGGTATTAGATAAATGGGATTTCTAAGAATATAGACTAGTTTTGAGGTTTTTCTAGGACTCTGAATGGTAACTCATGAATAGCCTGTTGGGCTGATTTTGGTTTTATGGGTGTTAGAGTTGGATGGTTTAGGCCGGTAATCTTGTGGACATTCTTAAGGGCAGTAACTGGTAAGGTAATAAATAGATCTGGTGTGTGTTTTTTTAAGGTTTAAAAGGTGTAGGTAACTAAAGGAGAATATAAAGAAGATTAAGAAGAATAAGCTCTAAAGACCACTCCTGCAATTTTGCTGGTATCACATTTATGGTTAAAAATGTGTCACACAATTCGTGAGGTGCACCATTTTTGTAACATTTCTGTAAAACTTGGTTTTCATGGGATTAAAAGCTTTTCAAGGATAGTATACATTTTTAGTTAAAACTAATTCTAAAAACATTCAAGTCCACTTAAAAATTTTGACTAATTGAACTTATATACTGAAGTCACAACACCTTGTCCCAACTATTTGGGGTCAACTATATAAATTTTGTTTGGCTATTTAGCTCTATCTAAAGCAAGAACTTTTAGTTAAACCCCACTTTATCACATCTTCCTTTACTATCTGAACTAATGTTAAAATTGGTCTTTCCTCTCTCTAGCATTATCCTTCATGTGGATCATGTCTCTCTTTCTCATTGATATAGTTAGGGCTGCAAATGAGCCTAGCCGAGCCGAGCCGAGCTTTAGGCTTTTTGGGCTCGGCTCGTTAAGGACAGAGAGATGCCCGGGCTCGGATGAGCTTAGCTAGGCCAAGCTTGAGCTCGGCTCGGTAATTTTTTGAGAAGCTCGAGCTCGTGACTATATATATATATAATGAATCAAGTATCCTATATAACATCAAATGGATTTCCTACAAAAAATATCGCCACCATCTCCGTCGCGTTCACCGATTAATTACCAATGTTTTGTAGTCATCATCATCTCCTTCCCCATATTCAAATTCCAGCCAGCAATCTCCCATCCATCAACAATATTATCAGCTTCAGATTGAGAGAGAGAGCTAACCTGGAGGTCACTGGTGGAGGCAAAGGACGGTGGGAGTTGCCGGTGGAGTTGAAGAACAGTGGGATTGGAAGGATTACCGAGGGCAGTGGCTCGTTGTTTGGCAAGCTTGCTTCTTGTGGCTGCGTGTTTTGGTTAGGGTTTTTTAAGTAACCCTTATCAAATTGATCCAAGGGCTGAGATGATGGACTACTTAAATAATTGGATTTTATTTTTTATTTGTAAGATGGGCTTCCCAAATACACGTACTAATTGTGCCAATAGATGTATAAATGAACTTGGGCTAAACTTATATATATATATATATATGGGCTAGGTTTTTACATATAATAATTTAAATATATTATATTTTATTTAAACGAGTCTGTTCACGAGCTCATGAGCTGAGCTTAGCATTGCACAAGCTCGGCTCGTTTACTATGTGAGCCTTAAAATTGAGCTCGAGCTCGGCTCGTATACTAAATGAACGAGCCCCGAGCCGAGTTTTTAAGGAGCCAAGCCCGAGCTGTTCATGAACAGCTCGGTTCATTTGTAGCCCTAGATATAGTAATCTTCACAAGGTTAAATCATTTCAGCTCGTTTCATTTGTAGCCCTAGGATATAGTTATCTTCACAAGGTTAAATCATTTTAGTTGATTTTTTCTCACTTTACCACCAGTGGATGCTACTTCATCCATTTCATGGATATAATCTAATTGAACTTTTCTCATCTTACCGCATCCATCTCAATATCAAGATTCCACAATGCTCACTTAATTTGAGATTTCCACAATGCTCGCTTAATGAACATGTTGTTTCTTAACCATCCAACATTTTATACCTTTTAAACTACTACAGTACTACTACATTACAGACCTACAAAAATTCTGATTTAACTATGACCATAGACAACTACTGCTTCGGTAATATAAAAATGAGCACAGACCAAAAAGTATACGACAACTGAACTATGAGAATGTAATTGCTGGTCAATTGGTATGACAATTTGATGGTCCATTTTAACATTTTTAAATGTATTAGAACTCTTTTTTAAATAGTTGTCTAACTCATTCAGCTTACTCAGTCGAGGTGTGTAGTATTTTTATGCAAAAATAGCAAAATACCTATATAAAACTTATTAGCAGCATAATAGGACATTCTTGTACTAAAACTCAACAAAGCAAGGCCCCCAAGTGGGCCTGGCGTTTAAAATTGAACCAACTTTCATTGCCTCTTAAAATTTTCTCTTTCTTGGGCTTCTTATAGATTGCAGTAGTGCTTTTGGAAAACATTGGCCTTAATCTTTAGGCTATGTTTGGATGGATGGAGTTGGAAGGAGAAGAAAGGGAAGGAGGTGGAGGAATAGACTATCTTGTGTTTGGTTTAAAAAATGGAGGGAGAGACTATCATGTTATTCTCTTTCGTTTTGTTCAATCTTACTAAACGGCTATTCCATGTGAGTAAAGAGCAGTAGTCTGCTATTGAATATGAACAATGAATGGTCCATGAATGATGCAAATATTGTGAATATTTAAGTATCGCTGCAATGGGTTTAATAGTAATTCATACTATTATCTCCTTTCTTTTCTCTCTTTCACCTTTTCCAAACATGAGTTGAGGTTATTGCTATCCTTTCCTTTTCCTCTTTAGTTTTTCCAGACACAATAAAGTATGAACTATCTTCTCCTCTCTTCTCTTCTCCTTTCTCTTATAACTAATGCTAACCTCTCCTTTCTTTTCCCTCCTACTTTTCCAAACACTGTTTAGGAAGGAGTGGGGATGTCCTTTCATGCACACTTTAATAGAGTAAAAAATTTTAAATCTGAGGGATAAGTGAATGTTTGACTGAACAATGGTCACTTTTGGGGTGGTTTTATAACTTTTGTTGCAGAAGCTTAAACACGCACCCCTCCAAGGAATTGAATATTAATTGTCTTTGCACAAAATGTAGAACCTTTTGGTGGTTTGTATTATGTTTAATATATGAAATGGAAATCAGAGTATTATTTCTATGAAACCAGAGGATATTGTGATATTGTTTTTTTGACTTTTAATAGTCATTGCTACCTGACTTGCTTTATATCTGAATGGTTATGTTGCAAATTTTATTCACTGCAATTTTTTTTTGAGAATCCTGTTAAGTGAATTTCTCCAAGTGGCAACAAACATCCATGTATGGTCATATATTCAATTTAATCCTCTTTCTAAGATTTGTCCTTTGTTTGAGATATATAATGAATGTTTGTATACTAAAACTTTTTGCAGGAGGCACGTTTATATGCTGAAGAAAATGGTCTTTTTTTCTTGGAGACGTCTGCCAAAACTGCTGTTAATGTCAATGATGTTTTCTATGAAATAGGTGAGTTTCTAAATTTTCTTTTTGCTGCGAAAACTGCTGTTAATTCAATGATACGTTTCATGAAAGGCTTCTGTGTTTTTTCATCTTATTTTATCCTTAATCTGCTTTTGTTGTTGCCATGATAGTGGAATTGACGTCATTTTTGTTTTTTTTGGTGCAAACAGCAAAGAGATTGCCCAGAGCTCAGCCTGCTCAAAATCCAGCCGGGATGGTTCTTGTGGACAGACCAGCGGAAGGAACCCGGGCTGCAACATGCTGTTCTTAAGTATTGTCTTTGTCCCAATCTGTGAATCAATCTCTTATCCATGGCTTTCTTAATGAATTTATTATTTTTTGCTTGCTTGTGGCGCTGTAATGTAAGTGACTTTGAAAATGATCAACTGGAAGTGTTGAATATATATATATATATATATATATACACGCACACGAAGAATAATAACCAAACTAATCGGAGAATGGTGTTGAGGGTCTCCATTAAAATTTGGCCTAAAAATTACAACTAGTAAAATAATAAGGTTGAAGAAAACATGATCCTTAAATTGAGATGAGAGTATTCAAATGTAAGTTGGTGATATATCTTCTCCCAATTACGAAGTCTTAGATGAAGCCTGTTAATGGGGTGGATACAGGTGTAACGAGTTTGATCTTTGCTGGTGGGCGACTGCCTTATCTTTCGGTGAAACACACTTTTGGTACTCTTATTATTAACTGAAATTCTTCTAATTTCAAATGTAAGGCAATGATTGGGTGCCTTCAAACGCAAACATCACTGGCTACATGGAAATCGGTCCAGCAGAGATGATATATATTATTATTGCACCTGAAATAATATCTACTAATGCACCTGGAACTATGTTATAGACTTAGTAAGCGCAACCCAACAAAAAAGCCCAAAATCTTAAGTTTTGATCCAATCCATGTTTTGTAGAAGCCCACCTACTGTGTGGGGACTTCCTGCCTCCTTTTGATCTTGACCAGTCCAGTTGAAGAGAGGACAGATGAAGGGCAGTCCCTACTGACTCCTCGAAACCAACTACTATAACAATCAGTCGCTAACATCAAACCGGTCACTCAATTCACTCTTCACAAGGCAATCCACATACCCAGTGGATGAAAATGAAACCTCCCGCCCTAGCGTCCACAACTTGAGCTCCATGTAAGCATACTAAATTTTTTGTGCACGAGTGTATTCATGTGTGCTGAAAGTATTGACAGTGATTTCATGTCTATGGATGTTTTAGGTGTTAAATGATTAAATCTATTAACATGAGTGTGTTCATGTATGCCGAAACTATTGACCTACTAGTACTACCACATTTTTCATCAAGAAAAGGTTAACATTGTTAAACATGGAGTAGTGGAGTTGTGAGGACTATCTTAGAAGAAAACAAAAGCTGGTAACTGAACCAACCAAAACCTCAAAATTGACCATCTACTCATTACGGTCCACAGAGAATTAAAAGCCCCAACTGCAAAACCGAGTAAGAATGGGTCAGTCACTGAGTCGTGTGATTCACGAGTTGGTCCAGTCATGGCATGGCATGGGTCACGTTGCCTTGGAGTCCATTCTCACGTTGTCTCTTTCCCACAACCTACTTTCATGTTTTATTTCAGCCTTAACTAATTTAATAATAATATTCACAAGGAATCAATTTCATCAATTAATTACTAATTTTATTTCTCAACAATTAATAATTTTATTCTCAATGTCACTCAACTAAACATATTAAATCTATATACAACTACAAATCCATGCTTCAGGTTTTAATGGATTATGGTGTTAATAAATTGACTTTTTTTCCCTTCTGTTTCAAATCAGATTAAACATAAAATTTATATATTAATTGTGAAAAATGTTGAAATTATTGTCGAAAAGATCTATTTTGTTTGTTTTTGTAATGCATTGTTAGTTTCTTAAGAGTATTGATTGTGGTTGTTATATTTGTGGACGACTAACCTTATGAGAAGTCAAGTCATGTCGTTAAAAACAGCGTAACTTTGAGTTTTTATATCGTCCATACATTACCTTTCAATATATATATATATATATATACACATCTATGTGTGAAAAACTATATATATATACATCTATGTGGTCAATACACAGTACATACACTAAAAAGTATAAACGTGTCAACTATGGTATAAATAGTATCAGGAAAAAAAGAAAAAAAGATTCTAGTATAGTATCATAGCCAAAAAAAAAGGGTCTTTCACTCGAATTCTTTAATCTTCTCTGAGATGAAAAAGAATATTATGTTATCACAAGCCTCTGTAATTCTTTTAATTTTTAAATCAATTAATTACTCTTTCCGTTCTATCGTATCTTAAAAAAAAAAAAAAAAAAACTTATTCCATTTGAAATGTGAAAGTTTTCAAAATTTTCCAAATTGATAATATATATATATATATATATATATATATATATAGTTAAACTGCAAAACTCCACTCAACTTTCAGGATCAAATATTACCCACCTCAACTTTCAGTATTGCACATAACCCCCTTTAAAGTATTAAGAAATACTTCTTCTTTTTTGCACGAAATACTATGTCAACGTTCGAATTTTCAAAATTAAATAATGCATTAAATGCATATTTTCTAAAATATTTAGGAAAACAGAGATGTCTAGTAATATGATAGGAAGTGGTATTTAACTGCTGTATATGGTATTAATTTGAGCAAATATATATATATATATATATGGTATTATTATATGAGTTGATTTAGTATTATTCTTTATTAAAGTAGACAACTGTAGGTAACTAGTATACGGTATTAAAATATAATATAAGTTAGAATGTTATTCTATGTTAAAGCAGACAAAAACAAAGAGAATTGTGAATGTGCAGCCTTTTCAAATCAGTTAATAATGGCCCCACTCCACTGCATGTGATTTATTTATGTGTCTTCCCCACATGATATACGTAGTATGTGTATATATATATATATATATATATATATTGCTATATCTATAGTCGGAACTAGTTTAAAGATATTGAAGGACATTGGTTAAGAATGAACCAAATTTCGGACCTAGTTTGTTGCATTTTCATCTTCTCGTGTTAATGGTTGTTTGGTGCAGAACTCAATTAAATTGACTAGAAAGACTTTCCTGCTTATTAATTAATTATATCTTAGGAAAAAAAAAACAAAAAAGGGGAAAAGTGATTTATTTAATGAATCGCATTTAATCAGTTGATAATAATAAGAGTATTAAAGTATTTTTTTAATTTAATTATTTAACAGCATTGCATACTTGGTTGTATATTTATGTTGAATGCTACACTGACTCCATCTAATTCATGCAGAGAGAGAGAAGGAGCGAGAACGAACTCAAATGCGGGAGTACGAAAACGATAAAATTCAAATTACACGAACTCACGAAAACAAAAGCAAATGAAATATAAGAACAACACTGGATCAAAAATAATTATGTAACTTAGCCCCCGTATATTCCATTCATGAGATGGCATCAAAAGAATACAAATACGTACTTCCAATTAGTTAGTAGGGATTTTCTTTTTCCTTTTCTCTTGTTTTCAACATGGCTCACCAACTTGGGTATGTTTTGGTATTAATTTAACACTCTTGGGCTAGGTGCATGACTAGGTCAAGATGCAGATTCAACAACTAACTTTTCGATTTTTGATATATAATTCTTGAGCTTCCCCACCTTTTTTTTTTTTATTTATTAATTTTCTAATTTTTTGATATATATATATATTTTTGAGTTTTGTACCCACCCATGATCGTTTTATTTAATTATTTTTTTACAACAATCAAATAAATCTAATTAATTTTAAACATGTGTGGATTGATATCTTGATGCACATCGTGATAAGTCATCTTTTGAACATCTATTCTTTTTAAATTTTTCAAAAACAAATTGTACATTTTAACTAGATGAACAAAAAGTACATTTGTTTGATGTATTATTATCAATGACAGTTCAACTACCACAACTTGTGACAGCATAAGTAACTCATGGTAACACATTGTATCATTACTACTTGTGCCAATTTCTATTTTAGACATGAAGGACGTCCCTAAAAACTAAGCACATAGTAGTATATCATTAGGTTAATCCTAGCTTATTACATAATATTAATTATCCTCTTCTTAAAGAACCATTTGAATTAATTAGAAAAAAATCATATTGATTCAACATAATCAATATTATTGCTAGATTTAATTCATTCGATGATAAGTATATACTTCTAAAAAATAATAAAAAGACATAGTGATATATGTGAAGCTGTGTTTTCTGCAAAACTGTCATAATACTGTCGTCCTATGCATTTTTCTTTAATTGTTTAATTCTGAATAAATTAATAATTATGTGCATTATAATTTATTACCATTGAAATGTCATCTAAAAAAATCAATATTATTGTGTTGTGTTTTTAGTTATTGTTATATCTATAATCCTTGTGTGTATATTGTGTGTGAATAGCAGAAATCAAGACGAAATCAATATTATTGGTAGAATTAATGTCTTCGTACACAAAATCATTGGAGCATTGGATGATAACCCATTACCTTAAGGATTACTAATTCTCAACATATATAGGTTCTGTACAGAGTCTTACTATGATTATTAATTAATTAATATATATATATATATATATAATCTCAAGTAGTTCAAAGACGAGACAAAGCAAGGATATGGTGTTCATGAGGTAGTTGATCCTTGTTTCTAGCTGGTTGTTTCCTGTTGACTTGAGTTGACTTCTTGCTACTTTGATTCTCTGCCACCACCACCAGACTCTTGGCTTGTGCCCTCAGTTGGTACTTTTGAATTTTGCCCGTTGAAGTCTTGGGTAGCTCCTCCAAGAACTTCACCACCTTTGGCACCATGTACCCCGGCAAGTTTTTCCGGCAATGCGCAATGATATCATCTTCATTCACACCACCACCGGAGCTATTCTTCACAACAAAAGCGCAGGGGGTCTCCCCCCACCGGGGATGCGGCATTGCCACCACCGCCGCCTCCAGCACCCCGGGGTGCCTATAAAGCACAGACTCCAACTCCACGCTGCTTATATTTTCACCACCTGATATGATCACATCCTTAGACCTGTCCTTGATCTCCAAGTACCCATCTGGGTGGATCACCCCGACGTCTCCGGTCACGAACCACCCGTCACGGAACGCTTTCGCGGTGGCCTTTTCGTCCTTAAAGTACCCTTTCATGATGCTGCTACCTCGTAGCATGATTTCTCCCATTGACTTTCCGTCGCGCGGCACGCTTGCCATTGTTTCCGAATCCTTGACATCAACATCAGCCAGTGTCAGTATGCTGACACCCTGCCGCTCCTTTAGTTTTGCCTGATCCTGGCGCGGCAGGGCGTTCCACTTGGTTTGCCACTCACACACTAATGCCGGGCCCGTGGCCTCCGTGAGGCCATAAGCATGGACAACATGGAATCCAAGATGCTCGATTTTTTCGAGAAGAGATGCCGGAGGTGGCGCTCCTCCGGTGAGCACTTGCACCGGGGTGGCAATATGGTGGCGCTCGTGTGGCTTGGCCTCCAGTAGGATGTTGAAAACAATAGGCGCACAGCACATGTGTGTCACGTTGTGCATCGTAATGCTCGCGTACATTTCTTGGGCAGTGGTGTTGCGTATGCACACGTTGGTCCCACCGCGGGCGGCCACTCCCCACGTGAATGTCCACCCGTTGCAATGGAACATGGGGAGTGACCATAGGTACACAGGTTCACTCCCCATTTCCCAACCCAGAATCAGACTCAACGTGCTCAGGTAAGCCCCTCTGTGGCTGTACACAACCCCCTTCGGCTCCGACGTAGTCCCGGACGTGTAATTCAAGGCAATCGGGTCCCACTCGTCCTCGATCTCGTTGGGGATGTACCCGGGATCACCATTATGGACCAGCTGCTCGTATTCCAGCTCGCCTAGCCGGACACCGGTGGGCGTGTCAATGTCGTCGACGACTACGACCAGTGGCATGGATGATTTTGGGTCGGCCATTAGTAACCGGAGGGCTTCGCTGGCTAAAGGAACGTACTGGTGGTCGATGAAGAAAACCTTAGCTTCGGAATGTCGGAGAATGGTGGCTATGTTCTTAGCATCGAGTCTGGTGTTGATTGTGTTGAGGACTGCACCTGCCATTGGCACTGCAAAATGCATCTCATACAATGCTGGGATGTTAGGAGCAAGCACAGATACCTGTATAATCAAACCAAAACCATCCATGTATATAAGTACGAGCTCATGTCTAATAAAGAGTTAATGGAGATAGTTAAGTAATTTATGATTTGTAATACTAACCACATCGTTCTTGAGGACGTTTAGGGATCGGAGAGAGGAAGCAAGGCGGCAGCAACGGTCGTGAGTTTGGCGCCACGTGAAGCGGACTCTGGCGTATATGACAGAGGTACGGTTGGCATAAACCATAGAGGCTCTCTTCAAGAAGGTGAGGGGAGTGAGAGGTACATAATTTGCTTGGCATTTTGGTAATTTATCCATGATGAGGAGATATTATATGTTTAGAGAGAGAGAGAGAGAGAGAGTTGTGTGATGAATGAGAGTGTGACGGAAAGGGTGATATATTTATAAGGGAAGTTTGAGTGTGGGAATAGGAAGGCAATGGGAAATGAGGAATGGGGCCCAAGTTTATTGTTAAATAATTAGGCAAGAAGGGAAAGGGAAGGGACCATTGTGTGGAAGTCAAAGGAAGAAGTTTTTTTTTTTGAAGAGAGAGAGAGAGAGAGAGAGGGGGGGGGGGGGGGGGGTGGGGGGTGTGGGGGTGGTTTGAACATAGACTGTTGACTTGAAATAGGAGTGGCATTGGCATGGTGTTCACACTATATATGTTGGGCTGCTTGACTTCGATCACTTCATGGAAACAACAAAGATGGGTGGTTATAGACCACAACACAACATTACTGGTAAGTGCATGAAAAGAACAGGACCTTACAAGTTCAAAAGTCTTTCACAATAACACTGGGATTTAACATGAAAATTTTCAAGGAATAATTTTACTTACATTTAGGGACAACTCACAAAATTATGCCAGAGGACCGGGTTTTAACAACATGTAGATAAAAAAACAATGAAATTACGGAGTGGAGGTAATAGTACTGTTTTTCTGTAATTTCAATGGGGCAATATTGAAATTTAATAGTTATGTAATCCAAAAAAAGGAAAAAATATGTAAATTGTTTAAATAATTGAGACCGACCTTATAATTTTAAAAACAACACTCACCTTTGAAATGTGTTAAATAATTATTATACTTATTATATTTTCATTGATTTAACATATGGACAAAATAATATTTTAAGTGCCTTCTTATGAGAGGTCAATGTTATATTTGAAACTCACCAAATTTAAAAACTGTTAAATTTTAATTAATATTTAACGATGATTTAAAAGTGTAATGGCATTATAGTTAAATTCCATCAGTTTTAAACCTTATATCAATTTACTCAATATAGACACCCATTATGAATTCTAAAATTTCTTACATTAAACCCCATAAGCGCTAAACATTCCTCCATTCCCAAAGATATGAAGTTAAACCCTAAATTTTCAAATCTTAGACTCTGAAATTTTGAAACTTTTAATAATTATTTTATTAGAAAAAAATAAAATTTCAATATATTTAGAAATTTATTTTATCCATACAAAGATGCTAATAACATATATATTTGATATATTGTATGCATAAGTACTTATTGACATAAATAAACAATTTATGGACTAAACTCGAGCTTGAATATATATATGTTTGATTGATCAATTAGTCCTAGGAGTGGCCACAGATCGGATTAGGCAATCCTAATTCAATTCGTTCCCAAAGGATTGAAAATATCTTAATGATGGAATCCACGGATTGTGATTTTTTCTAAATTTTTCAATATTATTTATTTATTAACTGTAGTCCAATAAATAAAATTTCAATTTATCTACATTAATTCATATATTTAAATGATCATTAAATATCGCGGATCTGATCGGATTGAATTTTAACAATCTAATCCGTGAGTTGCGAATTTAATTTTTAAAAATCCGTCACCGATCTATGATATAGCAATCTGATTCAATTTGTACGAATTGAATCGAATTTACAAATTTATGAATTATTAGTCCACCCTGCCCAAACTCAAATGAATATGACTTGAAGGTGAACAAGAGCCTCGAAGTATATATTTGTCTTGATGCATTGTTGATGGTTCACCTTTGGCTGATCAATGTTGGCCAGCGATCCATGACAGCAACCTTAACACCATCATTCTACCTGCTTATTTAATGAATGGGTTCAGTCCAGACATGACGATACCAACCAACATAATCAAATTATATCATCTTAGCCTTTTAAAGTAGTGGTGGAAGATTCAAGTTCCGTATCAACTACAAATAAATGGATGTGATTTCTCATCACCACAAAATAAAATAAAAACACTGACATGTTATGAAATTAATTGAAATTTAATAAAAAGGGTTAGTAGATGAGAATGCTGGTCTTAATTAATAAGATCAGAAGTGTGACTTCTAAGTCATAATGGAACAACTTTATCATTACGTCAAGATTCATCGTATAATTAAAATTTATATATTATTAGGATCATTTCTAATATAAATACAAATTTTATACTATTAGGATCATTTTTAACATAAATATTATCGATATTACATGTCAAGTTAAACAGGTCATCTAAAACTCTAACATGACACGTCAATTAAACGAATTGACAAATTAAAATATAGACTCAAACTCAATCTTCTTTATTTCGTATCGTGTTCAAATTGTGTTTGTGTAACATGTGGAGGGTAGCGGCTCCTAATTTTGTTTATAAATATTAGTTAGCCTAACAACATGAAATGGTGAAGCTCAACAAGCACCTAATGTCACTCCTACACATTGTTCTAACTTCTAACACTTTGGGGACGATATGGTAGTTATAATGTTGTTAACTACTCTGGCAAGCATATGGGCATTGGGCCACACTTGTACAATCTTTTGTGGACAAACAACTGTTGCATCGTTAAAAATTGACTGGCCAAGCATGCCATAACACACACAGTATGCTTTGTGTGGTGGATGATTCTTTATTTGACCCTTCATGTTATGCGTTTTCACATTCACATTTGAATCCATCCAATTTGGTTTTATTCTCTGTAACTAACTATGTTTTGGATTGTAGTTTCATGACAATAATACATAATGTCTTATCGAAAAAAGAAAAAAGAAAAAAAAAATTCCTTATTAAAAAGACAATTATACACAATGATGAGCCTCATATTGCCCCCATCTCTTATACCTCACAAAATAGAAAGTGAGAGTTCCAGTTCCAATTCTGAACAAATCGGTTTTTAAATATTATGTACTACAATCGTGACGGACCTAGAGATTTGTATGAGAGGGGACGGCTATGAACAATAGTATTGTATGGTGGGGTATTATTAGAAATTGAGTAGAGATATATTTAAAATTTTCACAAAAAAAGTAAAGATATTTTTTTAATTTTCATAAAATCTATAAGTAATTTGGTAAATAAAAAACAATGCCCTCCATGGGTCCATGCTGGACTACAATACTTCTCATGTCACGGAAGGAGAGAAAATATTAGATGGTTTATGAGGTCTATGCAATTAAATATGTTAACTTTTTCTTTTTTTTCGTGGAAGACGCCACGAAGTAAAATGGGACTTTTCTACATTTTGTTTAATACCCTAATAGTACAAGGGTAGAAGAGTTCAATGGAAAATTTGACGGTTTAAAAAAAGTTTGAACTTTACATTTAAAGGAGATGTGGAAAATAGGCATAGAAAGGGATCAAAGTGCTTTATATATATATATGTATATATATATTAAAGAACTGTAACTGCATATAGAATACATTTTAATGAGTGAAAAAAGAAGGCAACGCAGAGGGACATCTGTCATAGGTGGGGGCACATGTAGGATAAGAAATTGATTGTACTTTTAATCCAAGAAATGATTTGATTCAAATTTTAATTTTTGGAATAGAAGTTATAACTAAATCTAAATTTAGATTTTACCCAAATAATAATAATAATAATAATAATAAATAAAATAAAAATAAAAATAAAAACAACAACAATTACTACTACTAAGTACAGATGGATTAGATATTGATATTATTTTAGAGATATATTAGACTGTCCTAGAGTTGAACCTTCTACAGAGAAAATATTACTAGGTTACTCAATTTTGTAATTCTGATTTACATACATTAATCTGTTACTTTGCCCCTACATAATCAAAAAAACTTAAAAATAGTGATATTTAATTCGAAGAGTTATAACGAATTGTATAACCAAATAGTTTTGATTAATTATTTATACAAAATACAAACAAGTGGAGTGTCTCACTCCTTTATTTTTAACATAAATAACTAATTAAAAATAAAAGGTTTCGTAAATAGTCGGTGTAAAAATTATTTTCCAAAACTTAATATTAATTCAAAAAGTTTTTTTGGATTTAAAGTCAGAATTTTCATGCTTTACAAGGGAAATAGAAAGCAAATAAATTATTCTTAAACAATGTATAAAATTAGAAAAGAGCAAAAGTTTGAGAAGAATGTGATAAATAGAAAAAAGAGACAAAACTTTAAGATTGGGAGGGAAGGGAAGTAATCTACTCAAGCAGTCTGAACAAATATACCAAGTGTCTGTTTTGGATTATTTCTTTACCGTTAAAAAATTGCACGCGTTTACGTGAATTCAGAATAGTACGACATCTTGGATTCAAAATTATTACATTTTTTCTAATTTTAAATTCAAATACTCGAGTCGGCCCAACATAGCATGGTCATCTTCTGTTTACATTAACAACCTAATTTTTCATTAGGAGAAGAAAGAAAGTGATAATGAAGTGCATGGTGGGACCCGTTTGTGAAAACTTTGCTGGAGCCTCCCTCAATCCGCCAATTAGAGAATCTGTTGAAAGAATTAAAAGTGCCTAAAAGTCTAAAGCCCAAAGACCAATTTGACCCAATGGAGCCTTTCTCAAACACAATGAATGAGAAACGATGGCTGCCTCACTGAGCAGCCATTTTGGTCAATCACGAGACCTCCTCCTTTCCATGTGAATTACAGATTTTAAATTTCATGATCAAAATTTTGCAAGGAAAAAAAGGTTGTGGCCCTCCTTCAACTGTCTTCTAAAGTTGTGGGGTTAGACTGGTACAACAATAATTCATCAATATATATACATCATATATATATATACACATATACACAGGTTTATATATACAGTATCATGATTCGTTGTATTATTCGATACGTGACTCTTTTTCAAGTTCGATTCGTTGTATTATTCGATACACGACCCTTTTTCAAGTTCGATACACATCGTGTATCGAATCAGTTCACACTGACTTTATTCGAGTCAGTTACAATGCCACCGCAACTAATACCGCGACCATGACCGATATTACTGTTAGATATAAAAGAGAGAGTATTCTATATTGTATATTGATGTGTGAGATATTACATAAATGTCCTATATATAGAAAAATATTTGGGGATAGGTAAGTGATGAACAAGTAACCTATATACACTAATATGGTAGGTGTACTCATATATACTAATTTGTAATATGCAATAAATCTAGATGGTACTTAAATGGGTAAACTTGTAATTTAACAATTGCAAACCATGATATACGCACATCATGGTTATCAAAATCGCGATTCTAAGTCGTAGAATAGCACGATTCTATGACTCAGAACTCAAAATCGAGTCAAATCGCAGCAAAATCACTCAATTGGTAGAATCGGGGGTAGAATCGTCTGTAGAATCATGTAGAATCGTCATATATACTAATTTGTAATATGCAATAAATCTAGATGGTACTTAAATGGGTAAACTTGTAATTTAACAATTGCAAACCATGATATACGCACATCATGGTTATCAAAATCGCGATTCTAAGTCGTAGAATAGCACGATTCTATGACTCAGAATTCAAAATCGAGTCAAATCGCAGCAAAATCGCTCAATTGGTAGAATCGGGGGTAGAATCGTTTGTAGAATCATGTAGAATCGTACGATTCTACATGATTCTACCAATTCTACCAAAATGGGTATTTTGGACAAGTCTTTATAGTATTTGGTCTTTGGGCCTTTATTCTATTAGTTGTTCAACTTGTTTGGCCAGACTTGGCCCAAATATTGTTAGAAAGTTATAAATTATAAAATACAAAACCCTATTACTCTATTGACTTTATTATAGAAATTTAGAAACGGGAAGTCACAGAGGAGGAGGCGGCAGTGCAGAGGCTCAGAGAAAGCAGATCAGATTCATAGTTATTTTAATACAATATATTATTTTATTACTTTTCCTTTTTTAGCTAAGCATTTTTCTTCACTAAAAAAATAACAAGTAAAAAGTGTTTTTTTTTTTTTTTTTTTTCAATATATAAAATTGCTTCTTATCGCTACCTTATTTTATTTTGTTCTACATTTTTTTTTTTTTTTTCCTTTTTCCTTTTCTTTTATTGCTTAGGTCTCAACTCTCAAGTGCCATAGGTCACCTATTGCTTATATATATATATAATATATATATATAGATAATACACTGATACACAAACAATTAACTGAAGTTACTAATTCATTCTATTCAACCTCAAATCGGATTCCATTTGCAACACATCCACTCAAAGTTTGAGGAAAAGAATAATAAATTCACTTTGACAAATAGATCTATCTAATGAATATTATGACTCATAATTAAAATTTAATTTAATTAAAGCTTGGAGTTAAAGAATGATTTATGGAATGAAATTATTGCATACATGCTATCAATCATTTAATAGCCATTGAAAAGTAGCCAATGCCGTCCCAATTCAACCTTTTTTGAGGTTTTTTATTTTTTATTTATCTATATATTTTTTGCTTCAATAATAATAAAATGTTTCATAATAGAAATGTGAATGAGGTTTTTTATTTTTTATTTATCTATATAATTTTTTTAAGTATAATTTTAATTGTGCACAATTTGGGGGAGGGTAAAAAAATTTGGGGGAAGTCGTTTTATTTATTCACGGAACAAAAAAATATTTCTTAAATGTCAAATTTTATTCCTTGATAGGCTTAGATATATTTAGTTGTGTGTTTTGGCCTTATTTTTGTTATATTTTACACATTTTATTGTTTAAGAAGTTAATTTCAATTATTTTTTCACAATTTGAAAGAATTTTACGATTCACGATCCGATTTTACGATTCCGATTCTATGTAAATCAAAACGATTCTACTTAGAATCCCGATTTTAAGAACGCACATAAATTGTATATATATATATATGCACATTGATGAGAGTACTATGATGAAATACGTGGTCCACGTACCATCAATGTGCATTCATATACGAAGGTACTATGATGAAATACGTGAGGGTACTATGATGAAATACGTGAGGGTACGTGGAACATGTTTATATACTGAAAAATGACACGAAACTTTCAAGGGCACTCAATCATATATCCATCTATGAAAGAGGTGACATCATACATGAATCATGTATGGTACCCATACGATTCAAATGCTGGCATACATTGTGAACCAAAGTTTGTACTTGCCAACTTTCTTTTTTCTCTCTCTATTTTTTGTGTGTTTGTTTTTGGCAACTTACCATAACTGAACCAAACTTGTGTGCGTATATATATCAATTTTATACCAGTAGCCAATACAACAAACTTGTCGACTCTGTTTTTACGAAAATAAGGCTGATAATGATGATGACAAAATAAAAATATATATATGGTAGAAATAATAATAATTTTTTTAATGTTTTACTAGTATACAAATAATTATGTATAAGATAATAAACCCATAATTATAGCAATTATTTTATTTCTAATATTTACATAGTTGTAATTTAATATTATATCCGAGGTTGTTACAGGGCAACGTGAAACATAAGAAGGTGTTGGTAGTTGTTAATATATGGGCCTGAAAAGCTGGACGCGCTGGTCTCAGCATGATATTTCCTGGTCCTGGCCCAGGCCCATTTGGATCACAATAATTAATATATAAAGCAAAAGGTTTCCCTGCCAAAAAATTAATAAATAAATAAAGCTTTTAGTCCTCATTGAAGAACTTTTTTTTTTTTTTTTTTTTTTTAATATTTCAAAGTCTGGCCAATGAAAACTACTTATTTTCTTTGGTTTAGAAAATAGATAACTTGTTTTGACTGAGGATTATTTTTTCTATGAAAAGAAATAAATATACATATTAGATGAGAAATAAAACATGTTTGACTTTTACTACGTATGTTTTAGGTCAAAACTAGTCATTTCAACAAACGAAAAACGAAAAAATATGGCATATTGTATGAAAGAGATAGACCGAGTAAGGAAAAGAACAATGACAAAAATTAATAATTAAATTGTTGTGTAATGAAAGAATAAACAAGAAGTTAATTCATTTCTCTCATCGAAAAATAATGTTTTCAATAGAAAATTAGGTGATTGAAGAGGTCTCATTTTTCAAGTCAACTATACCAACAAAACATACACGGAGTACTAAATTTTGTTTGAAACCGAGTGACACTTGTTTAATGGGCTTTTGGTCATTATGTTACCCAACCGTGGGATAAATAATTTATTATTATTATTTTTCAACTTCTCTTTTGTCAATGAAAATCCTTTTCAAGTTCACAATGCTGATCTATTTCACAAAAACTTCTAACATATTCTATTTCGACTCCTCTAATAAATATGGAGACTTTGTGCCAAGTTATAATAAAAAATTTTAAAATAATAATTAAAAAAAAACAGCAAATATGGAGACGCCATAAAAGAATTACAACTGTATTATTATTATTATTATTATTATTTTATTTTTCCGTAATAAAAGTCCAAGCACATTGAGGTTTCTTATTTTTACTAATAAGAAAGTAAAAATAAAGAAAAACATATGCCAATTTTAGCTATGCTGCCTACGCCAGCAACCATCACCTTATTTCCAACCAAAGATTTAAGTAAATTTAATTATAAAATAAAAATAAAGAAAAACTTGCATGTCAAATTAGGACTAAATTGTTCTCATGGTTGAACCATTTTGAGAAGATAATTTATTGATTATATCAGTACAATAAGAAATGCAATCACCAAATGTTTTTTTGTAGCTAAGCCTCCACTCAACTGCTAATTTCCATCTATCCAGTGATCTTCTTGTCTTACTAGATAAATTTAACTTGACACCACTTTCTCCATTCGGCACACCATTGACTTCTAAGAAAGCACAAGCCTCACCTCCAGATGCTGAGAGGACGTCGCTGAGCTCCATGGGAGTACAAGAATGTTGCAGTTTGTCAATTTTGTGGAGCAATAAATAGTCCTCCTCGACCGATGTCTGGAAATTCTTCAAGATAACGTGGCAGTTCTTCGCTATCCGTCCCATCACAATTACCTCATTTTCTGGTGATAGTTGAGATCCTGAATAAGCAAGGTGTCCAACAGACCTCCGCTGGCTTGGAGGGGTTGCCCATAACCGGATTGCAGAGAGTAGGGCAAAGGATGGTTTCCCATTTTGGTGAATATATAGCAACTCCTTGGGCCATGAACACGAAGAGTAGATCTCGGGTTCTAGAGGAATGAAAACCTTGTCATTTGGATTTTCATTTAAAAGAAAGCCATAGTGTTCGAGAAGCTCCAAATTTGTATATGTCCCATAGCTTAGAAGAACCTGCAGACAAGATCGTATTACTATTCCTTCTTGCCACATCCAAGAAGAAACCTAAGGAAATAAAAAATGCAAAATGTTGGGCCCATATGTCTGAACAAATCAGTTTTACAAAAACTGGGAAAAAACAACTCCAACCATATTGCTGTCCTTCGATTTAAAGAACGTTGAATGAACTGTTAAGAGTGGTAATTTCTAGGGCCGTATTACTAACAAATATTGGTTCAGATCAGCAATGCTGTTCTCTTGAGTTTTGCTGTTGTTTTTGTTTGGAGCCTGTGCCTCTACCAATAAATGAACTGCAAAAAGACTATAAAAAGCAGCAATACTGCGGTTACTACCTAAATATAATGCAGTGTGTTCTAATAGGAAACCCGGGTGATTAGTCATACCTGCTCTCCTTTTTTATAATTTCTTCTAGCGTAGAAGCAATATGCAGTGACATCTTCCTCATACCCACCATCTGTTAACCTCTGCAAATTGGCATCAAACTTCTCTGCATCTATTTTCTGTGTGGCATCTTCTTTCTGTAAAGAGCATACGTGCAAGCAAGAGGCATTTCTGAAACTCCTTGAATCTTCAGAGTTAGAAAGCTCCTCCCCGGGTGCAGAATAATTAAAAAAGTCACCCACAGGGCATAAGCACCCAGCATTGTCCCATGGTATATGCAATGTGCGGGAAGATATCTTCAACCAGAATTATGTTGAAATTTTCAGATTATAAAAATATAAAAAGCAATGTATAGAATGAACTATGCTAATGGATAGCATTAACAGCATATATAAAGGACGCCCAAGGAAACAAACAAGACTTGAATGCAGAATACAATCAGTATAACAAAAGAACTACAGGAAAACTCTTGAGTGGTCGTTTAAGTTAATCTAAAGCATTAACTCTCACAGTGATCCCTTGATAAAGCCCAAGGTTTACTCATTAATGGCTGGTTGTCTAAAAAATGAGTATCAACACACTGCTGGAACAAATATTTTTGTGTGCATTAGTTCTTACACAAAGCACTAAAAATGTACTTACAGTTGCAGAAGCCCAAAGCCATGCTTTAAAAGTTCGGAGTTGAGGCTTGAGCTTAAGTTCTTTCATAAGGGAAGTAGCTTCTTTCCAGTCCAATTCAGCCTTCAGTCTAGCTTTTTCTGCAGCCCAGATGGCATCATCCACCTATCATTCATCCTAAATACTTCAACCTCAACTAACAAAGCTTTTTCCCAACTAATTGATAGAAGTATCTAAAATAATTTATAATGAAGTAATATCTATAATAATTTCCTAACCCTTGATATTAACGGAAGAGAAAATTGACATTTTCAAGAAGAAAAAAAAAATCCAAATTTTGGGAACCAAACTTGCAAAGCTTGCGTCTCAAATCGATCAAAACTCGCTAGTGTTTCATAACTTCGTGGCAACTGCATTAGGTAAGGGTTCCACCAAGAATTCTTTCCCTTGCCCATTTCATTTAACAACAAAACAACCAATATCTGCATTAGAAAAACAAAATTAATCAGACAGGGTAAAGTGTTAAATATTCAATCAAGAAAACCACGTAAAATAACATGGATGAGTTAGCACTCCATTTGCTTCCAGAGAAAAATATTTGACATTTAACACCTAGCCTTCACCCAACTATTTAGGGCCATTACATAAATTCTATTCTGTTGTTACGCAAAGCCACACACTACTGTTTATTTACAAATTTTAGCTCAATGGACAGTTAATTTCCCTACCCTTAAAATTACCTCAATACAAAGATAATGTCTTTCTTCCTCGTCAAAGGCAGCGCTTAGAAATATTCGTCAACATTACATGGACTCCATAAAAATGCATGAAATACCCGTGTCGAATATACAATGCTCTCAACAGACAGTTGATTTAAAATAATAACAACCACCAAAGCCTTTTTCCAACTATTTGGGATCCGGTTACATGAATCCTATGTTTCCATTCCACTCTGTCCAAGGCCATAACCTCGATCAAACCGCATGTTACCATCATTTCTTACTAACTCTACCCACGTTAAATTTTGTCTTCCCCTTCCCCTAGTATTAGCAACAATGTGGACTATGTCACATTTCCTAATTGGCACAATTAAATGTCTTCCTAGCACGTGTCCAAACCATTTTTATAGATTTTCTCTCATTTTATGTCCTATTGTGTTATTCCAACCATCTCATCTCACGAATCTGATCATTTCTTACATCATTTACACTCACTTAATGTACATATTGTTTCCTAGCTGCCCAAACATTTTGTCCCATAAGCAGACAATTGATTTTTAAAAGTTACATATTATAGAAGAGATACAGTGAGAGAATTCATGTGGAGGACCCCATTCTTATGGTATTAAAGCAAGGATGATGATACGGTACATATGCCTAAACAATTTGTAACGATCCACTCCACCACATGGTATGATATTGTTCGCTTTGGGTCCGAGCCCGCACGGTTTTGCTCTTGGATTTTCCCCAAAAGGCCTCTACCATTTGGAGAAAACATCACCACATATAAGCATTTCACCTTTCCTTTACCTAGACGATGTGGGATTGTGCACCTGTAACTCGTCCAGTGTGGTAGTCAGTGTCTCTTGCACCCGCCCACAAGGTCGCCACAATCACCCTCCCTTGGGGCCCAACGTCCTCGTTGGGCATACTTCTGGATGGGTCAGGTTCTGATACCATTTGTAACAACCCACTCTACCACATGGTATGATATTGTCCGCTTTGGGCCCAAGTCCGCACGGTTTTACTTTTGGACTTTACCCCAAAAAGCTTCATACCAATTGAAGATAACACCACCACAAATTAGCAATTCACCTTTTCCTTACCGAGGCGATATAGGATTGTGCACCTATACCTTGCCCGGTTTGGTAGTCTGCCAGTGCCTCGCACCCACCCACAAGGTCGCCACAATCCCCCCCCGGGGGAAGGCCCAACGCCCTCGTTGGGCACACTTCTGGCTCGGTCAAGCTCTGATACCATTTGTAACGACTCTCACCCTAACGAGACACAATATTGTCCACTTTTGGCTCCCCCGGACTAGAGACTTCCCAGGGGGTTACCCATCTTGGTACTACTCCAGGTTAAGCACGCTTAACTCTGGAGTTTTGGCATGTTTACGGCCATCACGGCTTTGAAACGCGTTGTGTCATAAAAGGGTGTTGAATTTACATATAGTACTTACCATTTCCACACTCAGACAATGTGGGATTGTGCACCTATATCTCCCCCAGTGTGGTAGCCTACTAGTGCCACCTGCACAAACTCACACACACCCGCCCACAAGGTTGCTACAATCACCCCCTCCCCCTTTGGGGCCCAACGTCCTCGTTGGCCACACTTTTTATTGGGTTAGGCTCTGATACCATTTGTAACGACCTACTCCACCACATGGTATGATATTGTCCGCTTTAAGCACGAACCCGCACGGTTTTTCTCTTGAGCTTTACCCCAAAAGGCCTCATACCATTTTGAGATAACACCACCACATATGAGCACTTCACATTTCCATTACCCAGGCAATATGAGATTACGCACCCATAGTTCATCCAGTGTGATAGCCTGCCAGTGCCTTTTGCACCCGCCCACAAGGTTGCCACACAATTTGTCCCATATGCAGTTTATAAACATGCCATATTTGCTAACTGTTATCATCTTGATAATAGTGGGATTACATAGAATGTTCATTTTCGACGTTCATTTCAGGATTGGGAGTTGGAAGAGGTGAGCATTTTCTTGAATCAATTGTATCAGCAAGAAGGAATTGGCAGGGGTTTTGACAATTTGATTTGGATTCCCTCCTCTCACGGGCGTTTTGCAGTAAGGTCCTTGTTTTTATGTTTGTTTAATTTTGCATCCTATAATTTTCCTTGGAAGACTATTTGGTGCTCCATGGTTCCTACTAGGGTGGCATTCTTTGTATGTACTGTTGTTTGGGGAAAGATTCTGACGATCAATAATCTGAGGAAAAGGGAAAATTTTCTTGTTAATTGGTGCTGTTTATGTAAGCAGGATGGGGAGTCAGTTGATCATTTCCTATTGCATTGCTCTATAGCGTACGATTGTTGGAATCTCATTCTTAGCTTATTTGGCATGTATTGGGTAATGCCACATTCTACTAAGGAGCTAATTCATACTTGGAGAGGTTGTCGTGTGAGTAGGAGCATTCTTATTTATTGGAGATCTGTACCACATTGTATTTGGTGGTGTATCTGGAAGGAGCGAAATAGTAGAATGTTTGAAGGGAAGGAGTTGTCTACAGCGACACTAAAACTTTTTATTATTCGCTCTCTTTTTTGTTATGTGAACAGAAGTTCGTGTTCCTCTTCTGTTGATTTAATTTCTTTTTTGGATTCTTTGGGGCCTTAAACTACGGTTCCTTTGTCTACGGGACGCGTTCCCCTATTGAACGCCCTTTTTAATTTATTATTACTTATCAAAAAAAAAAAATTGTCCCATACGCAGAGAGATGATTTTAAAAAAATTAATATTATAGGAGAGAGATGGTAAAAGAGTATTCAAGTGACCGACCCTATTCTTATGGTATTAAAGCAAGAATGACAATATGGTATAGTTATGTGTACAACAATATACAATTACCAATTATTTCCATAATCAGTTTTATTAAATGTTGGACACTCTATATTACACAAAAACATCATTTTACTTTAGAAAATAGAACAAAATATATTAAATAAATGAGTTTTTAGCTATGTTCCCCTATCCTCAGATCAGGGATTTGATAATCCGATGCTAGATAGCCACACCTAACACATTACCCTAGTCCGTGTAAAATAAGCATTTGTTGAAACTGGATTAACCATTTTTGTCGGATTTCTCTCAGTTTTTTCCAATTGGTGCTATTTTTGCGCCTCATAAATACATTTGTTTATCAAATTATCCTCCTTTTTCATACAACACATCACACATCCATCTTAATACTCACATTTCAACCTCACTTAATATAGAACATTTTATTTCTTAATTTCCCAGCATACTTTGCTTTTGAGCATGGCTAATCTGAAAGTTGTTTTGTAGAACATTTTCATCCAGCTTTATAGGTATACACTGCTCATATAATATGCCAGAACCACTCCTTCGCTCACACCATCCTACTCTGGTTTTATTAGTAACATCATCTTCAATCGTGTTCCCCATAATTATCAAATCTTTTGTATCGTTTGGTCTTATATTTTCTCTACTTCCCCATTTATATTCCTAATTATGCTAAAATTATAATTCTCATAAATAAAGTTTTAATCCTATTTAATTTAAACCTACTTGATTGTAAGACTTCTCTCCAAATTTATATTTAGCTTCATATCCCTATTTACTTTCATCAATTAGAAAAACACCACCAACCAATCATACACCACAAAATCTCACATAAAATATGACTAATTATATCACCCATAAATAAATCAAAACCCATAATTGATTCCAAATTTTACAAGCTCAACTTTTTTTTCTCATTAACCAAATGTAACACAAAAAAAAATCGTTTTATATAAAGAAAGAACACCTGAGTAGAGGAAAGAAAAGGGTGTTTATTGACAGCAAGAGATAGGGTCTGATCTTCCAGTAGGCTATCACTCGTCATTAAGGCCGATTTGGGAACTCTAAGAATCAATTCGCCTTTTCTAAGATCACGAGCAGCAGCTAAACCCCGTCTGCAACATTCACACACATATATATACTTACATAAATACAAATATATAAGGATATATGAAAAGTTGAGAACACGAATAAAGAGGAGAGAGAAAATTTGGAATACAGTACCCGCCTGCGTCAGGAAAATGTGAGACGCAGAGGGATTGTCCCAGACGTGAATTTGAACGTGGTTGCTTTGGTGGAGAGTCTGATACTCCGAGCTCACAAGCCCATCTCAGGAACCTCTCTAGCCCTTCTTGTTCTTGCTCCATCTCTCTCTCTCTCTCTCTCTCTCTCTCTCTTCGATGCTTTCAGAGTTACATTAGGGGTTTCCTGTAGGACATACTGGACTGGGCTTAATATCAGCCCAACATTTTGGGTTGGGTTCAAATCAACCCAAAGGTCCCAATTTTTTCAGTTTTCTTGTATGAGTTGACAAAATGGTAGGAGGCAGGGTGGAATGAAAACATTAGAAATGAGATGATATAACGGGACGAATGACTTATAATATACTAGTAAAAGAAATAATTTATGTAACAACTCTCGTTAACATCAGATTTAACTTTAAATATATTGTCAAGAATGAATGTGCGTGTTGATTTCTTATTCGAAAAAATAATTCGATAATTTTATCATTTTCCTTTTATATCATGAGGATGAAAATAATTTTGTCAATGCATGCATATTAAAAAAACTTATAACTTAAAATAATCATATTAAATTTATATAATAATCATTAAATTTCAATCTTTCAATTTGATTGGATTAAATTTCAATCTTTCAATTTGATTGGAGTCTTATTTGATTGGTTATAACACTTGAGAGATTTGGCTATGATTGACTAAACAACTCGACTTAGAGGATCGACAGTGCATCTGTATTTGACTCCACACTCCATGCTCCACTGGTGGGGATTCAGGTATTGCGTGACACAATAAGAAAGTGTGGATCTTGTGTTCAATTATGCTTTAAAAATAAAAAGTAATGGTGTGATGGTGTATAAAATAATTATTATATGTATTTATTTAAGTTTTATTATATATATATTTTTTATATTATATTGTATCAATTGATTAATTTTAAAAGAGTTATAATTTAATTAATTAAAAAAAAGTTATTTAATTTGCATAAGTATTTAATTAAAAAAATTAGGAAAAGATGCGTACTTTTTTACTTATCAATATAATTGATTTATTTTTTGCATAATGATTTAATTAATTTTTATAATAATATAAATATTACATTTTATTCGATTACACTAAATTTAAACATCTTCATTAGCAAATTGATTTCACAAATATTCTATTAGATGTCTTTTGAAATCAGCATTGTCTGCTCTATTGTGAATCCTGAGAGTAACATAATCCTCTTTAAGCAAGAGTAGATTTTTTGAAAATGACAAATGATGAAGGATAATAAATAAAAATAAAAAAAAAAAAAATTCAGATGATGCTGCAACAATGGCAATCGAGGATCGACAAAATGAAATTATGGCGCGTTGGGTGATTAATTATATTATCTTTTTTTTTTTCATTTTTTTTTTTTTTAACATGTGGGAAAGTATTAATGTGTTTTTCCTTTTCTTCCATGAATTGTATTGTTTTCTTTTATTTATAGGAAGTTATGCAATGTATTTTCTTTAGGGTAATTTGAACTTAAATCCTCCCAAGTTTGCAATAAAGACATGTAGATAAAATTTAGGGAGAGTGTGAATGTGATCCAATCACCCCTAGGTTTGCAAACTTAAACAATACCACCCCAAATCATGATAAAAGTACATAATTTCCTTTTGACTTTTGAACTAATCCCTTTTAATAATTAAACTATAATATTAACATTTATGGTAAAGTACACCAAAAAAAAAAATCCTAAACTATGTTTGAATTTACAAATAACCCTCCTAAACAATCACATCTTGTTGCAAAATGGCTAAATGCTTAGAGTATATTTCATTAAATGACCACAATGCCCTTTCTTATTGAATTACACTTAATCTATTTTTCTTGTTGAAAAAAATTATGAAAAAAATTCATACTAATTTGATAAACATATTTTGTATTAAATTTGCATAAATTTACCTTTAATTTTTTTAATTATTTATTTAAATACAAAATTTAAGTAGAAAATTTTCAAACAATTTAATAAATTTCTTAATTTTTCATGAATAAATTACATGACAAATAAGGTATTTTTATTTAAGTAATTTATTAATTTTTCATCAATATATTGTATGAAAATGAAGATATTTTCTACAGTAAAAAAGTTTAAACTGTGTATAATAAGTTTTATTATAAATAATAAAATTTTAGCAATAAGTTAATCATTTTAGAAAATAGTATTTACAATTTTTTTTTTCATTTATATAATAGATTGATATTAATAATAAAATTAAGGTAAATAGTATCATTAATATTTAGATAAGAGAAAAGATAATAAAAATAATTTAATAAAAATAAAAAATTAATAAGAAAGGGTAAAATAATCTTTTGCGATGAATTTGTCCTTAATTGCAACAAAACAATAGTTCAGGAGGGCAGTTTTTAGTTCAAGGGGGGTTATTTGCAAAAGAGCAATAGCTTTTTACTCTAACATTTATAATCTTTTTAATTAACCCTCAGCGAAAAAAATAAAAAACAAAAGTCAAACTTCACTATCACCCACCGTCCACAATCACCTCCAAAAAATCTGTCTCTGTTAAACTACCCCCAAATCTAGTATCAGCATCGACGTCGTTGACGAATACAGAATCGCTTTCGCCGTTAGATATTGTATCATCCTTCTCGTCAAAGTCTCTCCATCGTGTTGTCGGATAAATCTAGTCTAGGATCATGAAATTTGTTCTGGTAGGAGCCTCAACATCGCATCATCACAAAAATGTAACCTAGGATCATGAAATATATTCTTTTTCTCTTCGAAGCCTCAACATCGCGTAGCCGTCGGGAATTTCTTTAGCCGTCACCGTTGTCTGGTCCGGTAGTCGTCACTAACATTAGAAAATCACGGTTCAATCACAAGCTTTGGTTTGGTGGTCTTAGCGTCAGTATGGTGGTGGCGGTGGTGTTGAAGTCTGTATATATATATACATATATACATATATATATATATATATGTATATATGTATATATATATATATGGCATTGGCGGCCACAATGGTAGATTTTGGCCTCTTTTTTTTTTTTTTCCCCCTTCTTAAGGGTCATTTTGGTCAATAAAAAAGGACTTATAAAGGTTAATATTGTAATTTAATGATTTAAATGAATCAATTCAGAAGTCAAAGAGAAATTATGTACTCTTATCATGGTTGAGGATGTTGTTGTTCAAGTTTGCAAACTTGAGGGGGAGATTGGATCACACTCTCCCAAAGTTGTATCTATCTGTCTTTATTGCAAACCTAAAAGGGGTATGAGTGCAAATTACCCTTTTATTTATATGTGTAATATCATTTTTTTTTTTTTTGTAAATTTCTCAAAACATATAATCAAAGTAAACAATTATAGCTGTTAGTAATATAGTTTTTTAGGAATATAACCGCTGGAAAAAAAACAAACAATTAAAGAATTCAAAAAAAATTATTTTATTTTTTTAATAAATAAAATTTTAAAAATAATAAAATTGTAACGACCCAAACCCGGAGGCTCGAACCTTTAGCTGGGTCCTTACTCGAACCCGACGTTATCTACGTCAAACACATCATTTCTAGTGTCAAACATCATCATAATGATCATCATTGAGTTTTCATAAGGCTCAAAACAATTCCCCACGAGTTGAGAGAAGAATAACAAGAAAGAAGAACAAAACAACCAAAACAAGCGCACTCCGGTCGACCGAAATGAGAGATCCCGAGAGTGTGAAGATGGTTCGGTCGACCAAACCCCATTTCGGTGGACCGAAACAGGAGATCCTGAGAGCACCTATCTAGTTCGGTCGACCGATACACCATTTCGATCTACCGAAGTGGCTCCCTCGAGCCCTGAAGCTGGAATTTGACATACTGCCTTATGAAGATGAAAGGGGATCTGAAATGGAGACTTTACAATGATTCCAACTCGAATTAAATCACTAGATATGAGTTACTTAACGATCATGGACTAGAGTACTAACACGTGATCAAGTAAAACATCATTGAAATCAGTTACTTGATTTTTTAAACTTAAGCTTTACATCATGAACAATTTACATCAAAATAGAGCTATGGCTCATAGTTAAATTTCCAAGGCTTTACTAAACACTATCATTATACATTGAAGTGCTAATTTACAAAATGAAGGCCCAAGTCTATAAAAGGTGTTAAAACACATTCCAAGTTTCCTTATCATGCTTGTTAAGGGATGGCCTCCGCCACTTCCTCCCCGAGACTTAAAAAATGTTAAATATGATGGGGTGAGCAATTTGTTTAGTAGGTGGTACCTAAGACACACATCTTGTGTCCCCATGAATCCAAACAAAGAATAGAATAATAGGGATCGGGATCACAATATGTCGGGAATGTACAACCTCATATCAAATCTTAACATAAATGATATAATGCAATGAAATGCAATGCATGCTGATGTCACTCCCCCTTTTCACATTCAAATCCTTCCATTCATTCACTTTTTAAATTGTTAATGTAACCCCCTTTGGTACCCCCTCAGCGTCGAGAGAAGGATTGGCTACTATCTCTGACCGTTGGTACCCCCGCAGTGTCATTTGGGGCCCAGATAGCTCAACCATGCTAAAGCAATCTCCTTAGTTCCCTCTAGGTTACATTAACCTACCGGCCTTTTGGTGACTCCGCGGCGACCGAGTTTTCTAAAAACTAATTCATCAAAACATTTTCCCAAAATTCCCCTTTTTCATTTCAAAACGATTTCTCCCATTTCAAAATTCCCTTTTGGGCATGGATGCATCAATGCCATATACGTGTTCATAATCCCATAACTAGTTCGAATTTAATCAACAAGGCATAATTCACAAGGATTTCCAAGGAGATCACAACATGCTTTTATACAACAAAAATCTAGCATGATGAACATATAAAAAAAAATCAACACTTAGGCATGCTCTTCACATAGCTCATTTAATACCCATAATTACACAATTAACATATATATATACACAACAACCAACAATTCACTAAACTCTAAGCAATTTAGTCATGCTAAACAATAATTTAAGAGGAGTTAACTCACTAAAGCACAAGATTGCATGGATTAAAAACCCCTACCTTTAAATTGAGCAAAATCCTTGAAATGGATCTCTAAATTCGAATGCACAAGGAAGCACTAAAACTGAAATTGTTGGTACTAACGCGTAGAGCTCGTCGTAGGC